ACTGTCCGGTCCCTGATACTTGGGAATATTCAGGAGTCCGCCGCGAATCCCTGAACTTCTTTGGATACGTTAGTTTTCATTCCGAGAGCACACGCTCACGAAATTACTGGTATTTTAGTTCGTACTGTCCATAAAGAAAATTTATGGCCGATGGTTTCGATACTGCATGTATTCTTTAAAATAAGAATGCCGAGTGTATTGGTATACTCCTTTAAATTTGACTCTCAGTCGAACTCCTATTTTGCTGCGGAACTTCCTTTTTTGCAGGATAGGGGAGGTGTTAGTCCCTTGTCGAAGTAAGATTTACTACCTGTAGCCAGCAACGTTTCTGGCGGCAAATAAGCAGTTATTCGTCAGATGAGTGCCAGAGAAATTTCTAACGAGGTTTGGTGCGGCCCAGAGCGAACTGTAGTGAGAATTACCCAGACGAATCAGTTATATCATGCTGAAAGTGGATGCTTTCAGACAGCGAATCTACAATATATCCAGAGAATATTGTACCATGATATATATTATATAATTCGTGATGTTATTAATTTAAATATTTTTATACATATATATATTTTTATATATTAGTCTATATGTTAACAAGGTAGGTAGTTATGTTCATGATAAACACGTAGTTAGTTATAAATCAGGGAATATTTGACTCCGGACTCCCGTTAATTTTGCACCCTGCCGCTATGTAAATTATTGATAGCCTAACTTAGATTATTATTATCTAGAGTGGACATAAAGTCACCCTTGGGTGATAAGCACTGTATCTAAGTGTTTTTATGGCCAAATTCAACACCAAAAATAGAAAAAATCAATATCAAGATTATAAAAATAACAAAGCTATGCCCTTCCCACAAAAGGATGAGCAGACAAAGTATGAGATCTGTTATGTTTTGTTATTTATTAAGTTGTAATTTGTTAAATTATCATAGATGTAAACTTACATTCTTGTCATTGTCCCCAGGAACACTGCCAGCTAAGCGCAACAATGACAAAGACAGCTAGGTATGGAAACTTAAGAAAACAGCCTGGAAAAGCAGCATCCTGGAATGAGCTCAAGGGAGATGTCTCTAGCAATGTAACAGAGAGCAATACGGAAGGCTTCAAGAAAAGTGGGTCCCAGGGTAGCGTGAAACAAGGTGTGGTATCAAATTTATAAACATAGACAAAACAACCATCATATTAAAATGATATTCAATATAAAAAATACAGATAAGCAAGCATCATGTAAATTAGTAAATTTGACATTGATTTACCAGCATCTATATTAATTTAATAACTGGCCAGTAAGTATGTGTTTAGGTCTAAAGTAACTTGGATAAACTAAAAAAAAAGTACTAAAAATCTACGTAGGAACAGCTCATAATATCAACATCTTTGACACTAGATGGCGCCACACTAGACAGTTGATAAAATGATGTTGCTATGATTAGTATTGGACAAACATGTTTGCTACAGTTTTCATATAAAGCAGGAGGAACCAGAAGAGCGTAAAAGTTGCTGTCCATCAACTTTATGAAGTTTATGATATTCATAATGCTATATTATAGTTTTGTCTGGCTAAAAGCATTTTTAAACTGAATTGTTAAACTGCAAACTTTTAGGAACATCCCGTAAAGACAAGGCACGAGCAAAGGATGAGAGGAGGCGCAGACGAAAAAGAGCTAGGGAAGCACAAATCGTAATTTGATTTGCCATTTATTATGTCTCTTAAGAGTATTTCTTTATCTTGCAATAACGCGATAGTCACTATTGAATAAATATAGTGTCTAAAACATCAAGCAGTACATTATCAAGTAACAACAATCTAGAGTTTACACGGTTAACATGCAATTGCAAGCTCTGAAATTTGTAAAATGTTCTATTTAAAAAAATTATGCACAGCGATACCTCATGATTCGACAACATGAGGCAACCAAAGCAAAGCTATGATCATACATGTCTTACATTATATGTCGCCAATTCGTACATGTCTGATAGCAGTCGTTTTATATCTGTTTAGATTTGCTACCACTGTAGGGAAAGTGGTCACCTGGTAGTCGACTGTCCTAAGATGCAAGAAGACAGTGAAACTGGAGTTGGCATCTGCTTCAAGTGTGGCTCCACTGAACATTCAGCATTCCAGTGTAGAGTAAAGACCAAAGAAGGAGCAGGTGCGCAAATGGCATAGCATCACCTTCATCTCGAACACTACCAAATCAAACTTGTGTTCAAAATTTGCGAGTTACACAGTAAGAAATATGAATGCTTCAAACCAGAGACAAGTTTAGGTGCACCCCTAGTTCTAAACAGTTAGGGAAAACGAGTTGAAACAAGATTTAAGAAGCAGAATATAATTTTGGAACGTTCGTGTTTCAGAATTTCCATATGCAAAGTGTTTTATTTGTGGCGAGACGGGGCACATATCTAAACAATGCCCGGACAACCCACGAGGACTCTATCCATATGGTGGGTATCGCTAATGATTCTGCATCCTAATTATAAGTGAATTAAATTCAAATCACGCTGCTGTAGTTGTCTTGTCTAGACACCCTGTAATTAGTATTTGATTGATTAACATAATTAAGTGTGATAGATGAGTACGTCATCATAATGGGTAAATGTTCTAGCAATTAATTTAGAGTTTTAATTGCCGATCTCCTTAACGGTGCTATCAGTTGCGTGTGGATAAATCCACTGTTGCAACACAAATAAATTGTTTTTATAATTTATATTTATATATGTTACATGTATATTTATGTGTATGTATATTATATGTATATTTATATTTACTTGTTTTTATATTTTATAAATAACGTGTATTGTTTTTGACGTACGAAGGAGGCGGCTGTAATTCATGCGGATCTGTCGAACACTTCATGAGAGATTGTCCAGAATTTCTCAAAAACAAAGGTTCGCATTAAAACATAGTCGCTGCAGAATCATTCATTCACAATTTTGCTCTGCATGTACGAGCAGATGTTATGTTCGTTTGAGGGGTGAAGAATCACGCTAAATGAACGTGTGTGATCTCTCATTGCAGGAGTAGGGAATATGGTATTGACTACCTTTTCCTCGGCCTCCGCAAGTGCTGATGCTGAAGTCGAGGTGAAGCAAGATTGTGTGCCGCCAGCAGAGAAGAAGAAAGCTCAGAAACTAGTAAAGTTTTAGTTACTTTCTCTACGTGATTGTATATAGAGACAGCAAGTGTCATACAGAGACTTCAAGTGGTATAAGTTTGTCCTACATCATTTTTACCGCATGCTTGAACTGAATCGTCGTGCTATGCTGTGCAGCGATTCTTCACTCAACAGAACCCGCAATATAAGGAATGTGTAAAACAGGTGTACAAGTTTGATCTACGTACAGCTTACCACTACAGTGCCAATAAATAAATACAGTTTAAACTTTAATTAATACTATATATATATATATATAGTACAAATTAAACTGTAAACTGGATTTTCCCACTAATAAAACTATTCCCATGTACCAATATGTCTATATATATATATATAGTCATATTGGTACATGGGAATTGGTTTTATTAGGTACGCACATGTCTCATCTACGATCATGCTATATGCAGAATTACAGAAAAAACCGTACACAGGAAAATATACTTGAATAAAGCTTTTATTCAATAAATAGTAACTTTCTTCTCATGATAAACTCGAGTGTTTGATTTTACAGTCTGGCGTAGACGTGGTTTATTTGTAATACTGTCTGCAAGCCTTGGGGGGCACACCCAACTTCAATATCAATTAGGCTGCAGTCACAAGTTCATGGGAAATAGACTAAAAAACACTGACCAGGAGCAAAATCATTTAAGAGACATTAGTTTGAAAGCAGGATGAATAATATTCTGATTATAGACTTTGAAACAAGTATAGCATATAACAGTAAGGTGCAGTATCATATATAACATACATGTACGACAGAAAACATTTCTCTCTAAATGTAATCGGACACTTTGAATAATATTACCACACACAAGATTTACGATATTCTTAACGCTTTGGTTCAAACTGAAAGCTTTCATAGAGTCAATGCTTGAAACGAAAAGACGTGCTTACCAGGAAAGTAATGCGGATGATAGACACATTTGTTCTCATTGTATAGTTTACTACTAACGTTTATACACTTATGTCAATCCATAGAGCAATATTTTAACTAACAACGGTTTAAAATAATTTAAATAGTATTTACAGTTTTCACAGAAATTGTCCAACCTGATTACTCATCAGTAGCTCTTTTCTATAATAAATTAAGATATTCACAATCACTAATATTAAAACTATTTTAACTGTTATTCCCTACAGGTATACATTACTGAGCTCAGCCCATATATTTCAGTAGCATCTATGTACATATCAACCCCCTAATCTCATCTATTCTCATCATTGCAATCGTACACACCTGCCACTGTCATGGTGCATCGCAACACATTTCATGCATTGCAAAGTGCTTCACCCAAATACTCACCAATGGCACACACCATTGACAACATCTGCTGGCCCATTACGAACCAAAACACAACACGGTTTTTACAAGTTTGTTCAATAAAAGAGAAAATGCTAATAGAATACTGCTGCCAGCCTTTACGATAACATTCATCCTCAATGCATACTCACATCCTCTATTGCCAATCCTAGCGACAATGAATAAGTACATACAGTAGTGCAAGTGCATTACCCATTTATAATCACTACTTACGAACAAATTTTACGGTAGAGAGATTGCCAACAGAGAAATATCTAATTATGTGTTCATATATTGTCAGATACATACACGTCTACATACTCTGATTTCAAAATATATTCGACTCTCATATCTTTATGTGCGACCAATAGAGTAATGTGACATGTGAGAACACAACTCGACAACGCCGTGTGATATAGAATACAGAGAAAGATGCCCTGATACTTATCCTCTAAATCTAAATATTTTGAAAGAGATAACCAAAGCCCGGGGCACATTTTCCTTTTCCATCACAGTGTTCACTGCTTGCCGAACCCGGGCACTCCCGGCATGTATTCCCGGAAGGCGAATGTGTGCTGTTATGCTACACGGCAAACATCAGTAATATTGCAAGAGCATGCCACAACCTAGATACAATAATGTAACCCAAACCCAGGATACCTATCCTATCCTATCCTATCCTATCCTGGGTTTGGGTTACATTATTGTATCTAGCCACAACCCAGAACCCAGGCAGTCGATCGGGACAATACACGAGTTGTACACAATGTTCGACTTCCACACCGCCACGATTATGCATGTACGCGTGAGGCACGCACGAATTAACACTGATGAACATCAAACAAGATTAAATAATCCACGTCTTACGACATAATATACATTTAACGATCCCACTCCAATAACGTGTACACTTATCATCGATATTATCAGAAGTAGATAATAGGGAATTCCCTATTATCTACTTCTGATATTATCTTATCTGCAACGTGAGATTGTGTGTCCAGACGTGTCACTCGTGGACTTTTATATGTTATCGCCATGTAACATATTTAAGTTCACATAAAAGTGCCATTTACCCTCCGTCGCCTACAACGCAACCAGTGGGGGATGCAACCAGCACACCCTAGTGGCAGAAATACAAACTAAAGTTGTTATTGCACATTAAGTCGGCAAATTGCCATGACGACCATCCAGCAAAGGTACCAATAAATATCGTGCTATATCCCCTCGGAACTTTCCAATCGAAACGGAGCCAAAACAGACTCTTGTTCGGCATCTCAGTATATTAGGCCCTTATATCTGAGCAGCTCTTTTATCACCAACCTACGTATAGCAATACACCTCGAATCGACAGGAAAGACTGTCTGTTGTTTCCGCTCGTACGGAAGAAAACAATAACAAGCCTGTCCGCCTCCTCTTCCGCGCAGCAACCTCTATGTACGAAACAAGTACCCCCGCCACGGCCGCGTACAAAATGCATTTCCGAAACTCGGCGAACGCAGTTCCGCATCACCGCCTACGCGCGCTCCGCCCGACAAACAGCAAGAAGAGGTACTTGGTGTGATCAGCGAGGGTCTGGCTGGCACTGCTGACACAGCACCGGGTTGACGAGAGAGGTGGCGCTGTCGGTCGACATGATGGGAAGCTGATTCTGACGATGATAATCGATCAGGTGCACTACGCTCTCGAAGACCCGGTCTCGCGTGCGCACCTAGGAAACAGAACGACAGATGACGCAACGCGGAAGCGGGGGCGAGCACGCGGGAGGCTTAATTAAACGTACTACTTCCCCGGTTAATTATCACCTTAGTTAATTATCATCATAATTGCAATTTCTGCATTCCCACGTCCTGATTGAGTGTTATACTTGAATTGCGAAAAATCTATCTGGTATTTCCTGCATTGTTCCGAGATAATTATAATGGTTCGTCCCCCCATCTCCTGACCATAAGCTTGACTCGGCTGAAATTTGCTCACACATGTTACGTGTAGCTCACATTCTAACATACTGATACAACTACCATGTTAACATGCACCGAAGTACTTCAAAATTAATAATCAAGATGACAAACGGCTCTTGCCTTCTTGTGAAAGTCTGCTACATGTATTCAATTCACACCCGGCATAACAAGTGAGATGTAAATGAATCACACATGAACAGTGAATACGTTATTCATATATTTGCATTTAAGTGTTTTTGTTTTTGTATATCGAAAACGAATACTTACAACTCCATCATTGTCTACTAGCAGTAAATGTTTGACTGTTCCCCGCTGCATGCCAGTTAACACATATTGTCCATCACTCTGTGAGCTTTCCCTAACCAGAAAGTCTCCATCTTCTCGGATCAGTCTCTCTGCCTGCAGGAGCAGATAAAAAGATGCGTTAGAATGATCGTGTTTATCATCTAAAATTTATTTGCAATTCGCATTTGTATTTTATGAACTGCACCTGCTTTCGTGTACAACGGTTTACCAATATCCTGCTTAAGGATTTATAGGTTACAAAAATATACTTTATTATATATATTTAATATATATCCATTATTATAATATATGATACGATGAACAAACCTACACAACGAATCTAGAAATCTTGCACAGATATATACACAAAGGTACAATGCACGAAGGTACAATGCACGAAGGTACAACATTTACAAACAGGAACAGATCATTTTTAACCTCAGAATAGAAATGGGTCGGCTCAAAACACGAGTGTGCGTGCATGAACGTACGTGATGTATGTCTGTCTTCGCTTAGCTTGTGTGTTTTCATGCATTGTGCCCCCGCCGTGTCTTCACTTGTGTGTATAGCTGTGTTCTCATCGCTACGTGAGTGGTATCTATATATCATGCGAGCACGAGGCTTCCTGCATCTATACATGTGCCAGTGTGGGCCTGTATGTATGCGTGTGCCGTGTGTGTGTGTGTGTGTGTGTGTGTGTGTGTGTGTGTGTGTGTGTGTGTGTGTGTGTGTGTGTGTGTGTGTGTGTGTGTGTGTGTGTGTGTGTGTGTGTGTGTGTAAGTAATGTGTGTTGGTGTGTGCGTGTGTTGCGTGTTGTGTGTGTGTGGTGTGCGGGTGTGTGTGTGTGTGGCGTCGTGTGCTTGTCCGTGCGTGGTGCGTGTTGCGTGTGCGTGTGCGTTGCGCGTGGCGTGCGCGTGCGGCGTGGCGCGATCGCTGTGTGCGTGCTGCGTGCGTGCGTGTGTGTGTGCATCCGGGATTTGGTGGCAACAGCCGCTTTATCCATAGTCCCTGCAGAAACTAGACACATGGCCTCCATTTGCATCGTCGCCAGAAACGTTCTGCACTGGCTCCGTCTTGGATATAATACCGTCCAGACAGCGCCTTACAAATGTGGGGCAGAGACCCTTAACCAATTTTAGTCAATGTAATTATTGGGCGATTTTGCAAAAGGCGCAGTGGTTGCTGGCAAATCTAGCTGAGCACGAGTTTTGTTTACACAAACAGAGGCATAATCAGTTTTGAAATATATTGTAGCTATTCGGGTCTAGTCTAAATCAATAATCCAATCACAATGCAAAAACTCCAAGAAGATTAATTCGAAAATGTTATTTTGGCTAATATTAGAAATTAGAATAAGAGTTTTCCCATTTTGCACCATGCATTTGTGAGAATTAATAGTAAGTGAAAATTAAACGTAAATTATGTGACACTACTGAGCTGTGCAAATCACACTTGAAGCCTTTATAAAAATAAAACAAATCTGTTAAAATAAACTCCCAGCTTGATTCAACAACGTAGAGGCGCCATCTTTAGACATAAACAGCACTCTTCGAACACCCACCGCAACTACATGTAGCGAAGCACATAGTTCTTGCCTGTAATACACCGACAGACCAGCGTGCCGTAACCAAGTCTTGTTACGTTTAATGCATTATTAATCAAATAATGCCTATGGGATGCTAAGCATATATTAATACGTGTAATAAAAAATATCATGATACGATGAAACCATTGCGCTGGCAGAAAGCTTATTTACTGCGCAACACAGGCACGCACACCAGGAGAACATGAGCACGACACACACATGCAACACGCACACACATTGCACACGCACACAGCAATGCCACACGCACACTAGCACACGCACCACACGACCCACATGGCAGCAGCGACGACGCTCACACCGCTGCCCACACACACACACAGCACATGTATCTGTACCTCGGACCGTGTGACGTTCCTGTGGAACCAGGCTTCACTATCCAGCGGGACCCGTGTGTGTATTCTGTGAGAGTCTGATCTGATGGGTGGCGGAGGGGGCATCACTTGCTCCTGATCTCCCAATGAGTCTACATCAATCAAACACAGGTAATTCCGATTTTAACACTCACGCAAATGCAGGCATAGGCAAATGAAGGAAAAGAGGTGATAAACGCATAAACCTACCTCGAGATGTTAGTAAAATTGCCATTATGCACGCGCATGATCAAAATAGAAGATAAAATCACGAGCTACATTATTATTAAAGGTATTATTAGCTCTTGATAAAATCAGAAGTAGATAATAGGGAATTTCCTATTATCAAGAGTAGATAATAACACATGTGTATAATAACAAGAGTACAATACAAGAGTAGATAATAACACAATGTGTTATTATCTACTCTTGCTATTATCTACTTCTGATAAAATGTATGATATGGTCCCAAACGTTTAACCACATGTGATTCAACCCTTTAAATGAAACTTGCATGCGCGTGTGATGTATAACCAATAGCAACCATTACATTTCTCAGGAAGAATCTCTGCGTGGAAATTCCTTAATCACATCTCATAAATGCGCGAGAAACACATATGTCAGGTGGACACATGACAAAGAGTTAAAACTTACCAATCATGTCAGTAGCTGCTAATCCATTATTCTCATTTGTTAAGTCACTAACTTGATTTGCCTCTATTAACCGCCTGCAGAGAGCCTGAGGAAGGAAATAAACAGCTCAGACTAAACTACGCGTACACACATTTTTTTCGTATTTTTTTTTCAAAACGAATTTACTTTTTCCCCCCTTTTAGCAAAAAAAGTTTTTTTCATCCTAGTTACAGAGACACAAAACAAACAAGAGTGCACGCGCGGGAGAAAAAAATGAAGCCCTCGCCAGAACACAATCGTAACTGCTAGAATGATGAGGTAACTCATATCGTAACGAAACCAACATGAATAATCAATCCTATGCAACAATTTACTACATTTCCCACATTTACATTTTCCTACATATTAATTTATGCGTTGCCCGCATTCGTGGCGCGTGATAGGTACTAGTACTAGTACTCGTAGCAAGTTTCGCATCTTCCCCCCCCCCTTCCCCCGAAAGTAGAGAAAACAGATTTGAGAAAATTTCCCGCCTCGACCGACTACACCCCTCCTTCGTCTGCCTGGAAGTTGCACAAACGCGGACGGGACAACAGCTAACGGACACCAATCAGTCGCCGTTACAGGGCAACACAGTCGCAGTTAACGAGCGCCAGAACGAATGACCCAAATAGCATCTCCTTCGCCCACGCCCCCCTCCCCACCACCCACCCACCACCAGAGCTTCCACTTATTCTTACAGAGAATCGATCAATAGCGATGTTTGAATATCGATTGTATTGTAAATAGAACGAGGGAGTCGTCGTGTGATTGAGTGAACTGACGGACTAACTGCGCAAACGCTGCGTCTATTTGCTCATCTGTGCCAGCCACGCAGCGCTCTCGCCTCCTCCACCTCCTCCACCTCCTCCTCCTCCTCCTCCTCCTCCTGCCTCGCTTCTCCTCGCTGCATCGCACCTCCTCCTCGCCTCTCTTCTCCTGTCTCTGATCCTTCTCCATCCTCCTCTTGCTCCTCCTCCTCCTCTCTGCCTCATCCACCTCGCTCCTCACTCATCTCTCATCCAGCTCCTTCCTCCTCCTCCTTCTTCATCCCTCCTGCTGCCTCCTCCGTCCTCCTGCCTCCTCAATCGACCTCCTCCTCCTCATCCTCATCTTCCTCCTCCTGTCTCCTCCTCCTCCTCCTCCTTGCTCCCAGCCTGCCTCCTCCTCCATGTCTTCTTACGCTCCTCTCCTCCTATCCTCATCCCTCTCCTCCTCCTCGTATCTATCGCTCCTCCTGCCTCCTCTCATCGCACTCCTTCTCTCCTGCCTCTCCTTCCTCCTTCCCTCCTCTTTTCTCATCCTGCATCTTCCTCCTCCTTCCTCCTCGCTCTCCTCATCCACTCCTTCCTCCTCATCCTCAGTTCTCTCCTGCCTTCCTCCTCTCCTTTCTCCACCTCCTCCTCCTCATCTCCCTCCTCTCACTCGCTCATCCTCATCTCCTCCTCCTCCCCTTCCTCCTCTCCTCTTCCTCATTCCACGCTCCTCCTCCTCATCCTCCTCCTCCTCCTCCTCCTCATCCTCCTCCTCCACCTCTGCCGCCGCCGCACCGCGTCATACCGATGCCACCGCCGCAGCAACGTCAATGTTATTTAGGCTAGCTAATACAGGAAGTGGCAGCAGCGATAAATGTTAGTGTAGTACACTGTACGTCGGGGCGCGTATGGCTGGCTGTGGCTGGCTGGCTGAACTGCGGAGGCCGATCTCGGCTCGTTCGCTCGCTCCGCCAGTGCAAACACACGCCGACTCCTCCTCAGCCACCACGGCAGGATGCGAGCTTCCTCCCCGCCTCCCCCCTCCCCCCGGAGCAAAAAGACGCGCCGGGGATGTTGATGCTAGCGGGTAGCTGTGATGGATTTAATCACACGGGCAGCTGCCAGCACGCGTGTATTAATAGCGGACGGGCACCACCGGATTGCTGAGGCGGGCCATTGTTGAGGTCTGCGATGTGTGTGTGTGCGCAGCGTGTGTGGTGTGTGTGTGTCGTGTGTGTGGTGTGTGTGTGTGGCGTGTGTGCGTGTGTGTGTGTGGTGTGCGTGCGTGCGTGTGGTGTGTGTGCGTGCGTGCGTGCGTGTGCGCTGCGTGGTTGCGTGCGTGTGTGTGTGTCGTGGTGTGTGTGTGTGTGGTGTGCGTGCGTGTGTTTGCGTGTGTGTCACGTTGTGTGTGTGTGTGTGCGTGCGTGCGTGGTGTGGCGTGGGTGTTGTGTGTGGCGTGTGTGCGCGCCGTGTGTGTGTGTGTTTGAGTGAGTGTGTGTGTGTGTGTGTGTGTGTGTGATGTGAGAGAGAGAGTGAGTGTAGAGAGACAGCGACGTGGTAAAACGCTTTTGCGCGCTACCGGCTGTTGCTGCTGCTGGCCGGCGTGCACACGCGCCACACCACACGCTCACGACGCACGACACGCACAACGCACGCACACGCTAGCAAACGCACACGACGCGCGCGCACACGACGCACATGCACACGGCACGACGCGCGCACACACGCAAACCGCACACATGCAGCGCACACGCGCACACCGACGCAAACAGCACAGCATGCAGCACAAGCAACACGCGCGGCGCGCGCAGGCCAGCGCGCACACACACACCACACACACACACACACACACACACTACAGCATCACACACAGCACACACACAACACACGCACACGCACACGCACGACGCCGGCGCACACCACACGCAGCACACACACACACACACACCGCAACGATGCTCTCTCTAAACTCACTGCGTGAAAGACTTCCTCTATACCGAGTCCCAATGACGAACCAGAGTAAGACTCGATCGTTCTGTAAGGCCTCCGTTCATCGACATACACCATAACACCATGATAACACTAAACACTGGTTCATGTCTACATGGGGACCACGAGAATTTAACGATGGTGGTTGATTATAATTTGGTTATGGCGGGGTCAGGCTTAGCGGGTTTGAATTATGGGATAGGCTTAATGATAGGGTGATGATAATGATGATTTACATACCAGGATCCAAATTAGAATTGACTGCATAACCCTAACCTTACTCCTAGCCTAACCCAAACTTATCCGTGACTACCCCTAATCGTACCACTGACCTAACCCTAACATTATCCCTAGCCTAACCCTAAACTTATCCGTGACCTAACCCTAAACTTATCCGTGACCTACCCCTAATCGTACCACTGACCTAACCCTAACATTATCCCTAGCCTAACCCTAACCTTGCCCCCTAAATCAAACCTAAAGTTTACCACCCAACCAAACGCTAACCTTGCCCCTAAATTAACCCTCACCCTAACCTCGAACTATAAACTCGACACGTATGTACGTAGCTATAAAAAAAAACACACCGTAGCATTCAAACAGGTGCCAGAATGAACGCCGCCGTGACTGCCTTTACTTCCCGCCGGTTACATATCGTTATATACCCCACACTAGCGACTCTTACAACTACCGCATTCGCTGCTGCGAGGGCGAAAGACGTTTTGCTTGTGAATGAAAAAGTTATGGTTCGTTTTACGGGGTCGTGAATGAATGCTGGGCAACCATGCAGCGGTAACCGGCGATCTGGTGATTATATGCACTAATTGCTACGTCCGCAGTGACGATAGTTGCAGCTGCTATATATTATATACGCTCCTAGTCCTACACTAGTAGCGTAAGATATATGTTCTCCCTCGTCTTACCAAGTTCGAGTTTTCACAGTGTGAAGTCTCTACAGTGGAAGAAGTTCGTACCAGTATATGTACCACACAACACCAAGATCTCGTATGAACATGATAATTGGTTCCACCAAATTCCCCATAATACGTACACAATATAATCACATATAAGTCAATTATCAATAGAAAAAAGCGTCGCATATAAGCTTATAAGCATATAAGAGCTTATATATCAAATATAAGCGGTTACTCAAATATAGGAATCACATAGTAATACTAGCGTGGTATTGTACCCCCACCATAACACAACACTTTCACGGTTACACGAAGTCGCGTGGCCCTACAACATGGCCGCCGTAACACCGCACACATGACAAATGCAATCGCATCGTTACACAGCAAGATCTCGCGCACAACGCGTCACACTGCTATTTATACGCGCCTACATTTTATAGGTATCATATCAGGAGCTTATGAATGGATATAAGCTCCATTTATAATAGATTTTTAATATCCATTTATAAGCTCCTGATCATATGTGTCTAGCAGCAATGATTACCTGTCTGTGCACAACGTCCCATCGTTCAAACAGTGCTATACACACACCTACACTACACACAGGTATGTGTCCAGCAGCAATGATTACCCTATTCACACTTAGGCACTACACACGTACACACGTACACATGTACACACGTACACATGCCCAGTAGCAAGCAATGCTTACCCTATTCACACTTAGGCACTACACACGCACACACGTACACACGCACACACGTACACACGCACACACGTACACATGCCCAGTAGCAAGCAATGCTTACCCTATTCACACTTAGGCACTACACACGTACACACGTACACACGTACACATGTACACACGTACACATGCCCAGTAGCAAGCAATGCTTACCTGTCTGTGAATGCGATGTGTTCTGGCCGGCAGAGGGGGCGGTGACTGACTGTGAGCGTCGTCTGACACCCTGCCTGCCCCGACACCTGTCCTAGCAGGTCGACCGTGCTGCCCTCTCAGTTCAGCCCTGCAGGTGAGAGAACGTGTAGCGCGTTACACACAAGCATGGACGTTTGGTTATCCCAGATCTCGGAGTTATCATACAGAATGATTACTCCAAGCCTAGATTAAGCAGCGGCAAGGGGGAATGTTGGAATTAGTCTAATCGGGCCTAGCAATGCAGTGAAAAGGAGACCAGCCACACAGGGGTATTGAATAAGCGTCTAACATAAAGTGCTTCAGCGTTAATGATGACGAAAAATGAAATTTAACGGCCCAGTTCAAAACTCAGTCTTAGATGGCAAATTGTATGAGATTACAGAGTGAATATTTAATTTAGCAGGGATGTGATAACTGATATGGTCAATTGTGAAGTTCACATGTGAACTTTCACTGTCACTGTCACTGTCACTGTCACTGTCAATGTCAATGTCATTGTCACTGTTACTCTCACTGTCACTGACACTGTCAATTATACTGACATTGTCACTGTCACCGTCAATGTCACTGTCATTGTCACTGTCACTTTCATTGTCAATGTCATTGTCATTGTCAATGTCACTGTCATTGTCACTGCCACTGTCACTGCCACTGTCACCATCACTGTCATTCATGATTGTCATTGTCACTGTCATTGTCACTGTCACTGTCATTGTCACTGACACTGTCAATGTCACTGTCATTGTCACGGTCAATGTCACCGTCACTGTCACCGTCACGGGCAACCTTGCTGTCAACACACTCACCTGTGCAACTTGACAGTCTTTGTCGTCTTCCGTAAGTACTCCTTGAATCTCAGCTCGAACGCCTGGCCTATCGTCGTAATGACGTCCTGGGCGAGACCGCCCGTACACTCCATCACGTAGCACGCCCTACCCGCACCGTCCTTGGCCACGTACGCGACGAAATCCTGCGTGTCCTGCAACGCAGACACCTCGCAAATAAACGACGCGACCGAATCACCAACACCGCAGTCAACCTCGCGAACCGCTTAGTTGACTAGCAAGCTGACGGAGTGGCAGTCTTCTTCTTCTAATCTTCTTCTTTTCGGGTCACTACACTACACTCGACCTATAGCCACTGCAGCGCGCAGGGGCAGGCAGAGTGACCGCGACAGACAGAGAGTGATAGACGCACAGACAGAGTGTACGAAAAAGATGCAGAACTGCCAGGCGAGGAATCGACGAAATCATGCGAGTGTGTTGCTCGGTAACTATTGGGGTAATAAAAGATTTAGTAACTACCCGTGTTGGTGATCAACAGACATGATAAAATGCAAAACAGCAATCTGTATGAGTACTGTTTGAAACCCTTTTACTTTATACTTGTACCAGAAATGAATGACTTGACTTGTGAAGAAATCTACTTATTCTTCCTACGTTGGGAGATCTGTCTTATAACACACCCACCCATCAAAGTGAAATTGCGCAAGTAATTTCCAGTGATAGTTATATGGGGAAATAATCACGTCTTAAATTGACTACGTCACGAATTTTCTATGGTAAAATTTGTAAAATTGTTGTTGCCATTTTTTTACATTAAAAGTAAGAACTAACGTAAACGTATTGTCAAATTCCTACATAATAAGATTGTTCTCAACTAGTTAAAAATCCAAAAAAACCTGGACGATTTTGATATTATATGTTCTGGACATTAATTGCTTGATATCGCGGCTATGTATGCAGTCACAGAGTTTAGGTTCACATCAAACAATATAGTAAATAAGAAGGGGTATAATGCAGCAATTTAACCATTAAAACGTAACAGAATTACTTATATTTTGTGAAAAAATGGAAATATATTTTTTCCATTTTTACTATTTACGGTGACGTAATCACTTTAACTATGGGAAGAGAAAATTCCACATTGAACAGCAAAGCTGAAACACGGTCTACTTATGATATTTCACACTGGAGACTGTGTATATCATCGGTCATATGCTCTTGTGACCTATCGTAGCATCGAATTACAGAGGGTACGGACCTCTTTTCTAAAAGCGAACAACAGCTGTTACTGCCGAGGCAACTTTTTCATGCAATGTCTGGGAAAGATTGAGTTTGTATTGCAAAAATGACAAAAACCAATTGATACTTTTGGTATATAAGATACGAGTAAGACTCGTTACCTTTTGAGATATAGTAAAATATGAGATATAATCTGCTAATATGCTGAGATATCTAATATAATTGTGATACCACTGCATGTTGACGATATACATTTCGATATCTCGTAACCAATCAAATCATGGATATAATTAATTTCAAGAGATGCTCCCAAAGATGTGTCCTACGCCATTTAAAGAAAAAGCTGCATACGTCAAACTATAGAAGCTTCACAACCCACACTCTCTTACCAACGAACATTGCACGTCGAAAACACATCCATCCATCTCATTTCCTTACAAAAAATTACCCAAAAACATTTATTTACGGTGTCTTCTTAACTAGCTGGGGCACGAAGGGTCGTTGTCGTATAATGGCGTATACTATGTACCCGAGGTAACTATCTGATATGGTTAGGGTTAGGGTGTTAGAGTATTAGGGTTAGGGGTAGGGTTAGGTAATAGGGTTAGTGTTAGGGTTAAGGTTAGGGTTAGAGTTAGGGTTAGGGAGTAGGCGTAGGCGACATACTCGCCGACACCTCGGGTACTACATATACGACAACGACCCCTTCAGCCTAGCTGAGTCGCTGTCTCTCTAACCTGCCTCGTGGCACATATCTCACGACGAGTGGGATGTTGGGCCCGGGTTTTCCCACGGCTAAACAACACAGGCTGCATTGTAGACGGACGACGATACGTGCGCTCCCAGCGGGAGCATTACGAACCACAACACGATTACCCATCACACAACAGTAAAAACCTACCGACATGCCAGCGTGTTGCCTGTACGACAGATGTCGTGTGCGTGTGCACGAGGCCGTATGTGCGTTTATACACCAAGTACCAGCGCATCCGGCGACAATACATCACGATCACCACACACAGCCACCGGCCACCGAATCGAATCCACAGAAATATTTTGCTTCCGACTTGCTATACGCGGCAAATCTGCGTTTAGCATGAAATGCTGATACCTACGAATAATACTGCAATTAATATTTATATATTAATGCAGGCCCGTAGCCAGCTTTATATTGGGGGGGGGGGGTTATTTCGTTTTTCAATGTTGGCAATTTGCTCGGCAGGGGCGTGTACA